TCCTTTTCATGCTAAAATATGGAATATTGTTTTAAGCAGATTCTGCACTGTTCAACATAAGATGTTGGATGACAAATTCTCAGAACACAGATAATGGCCCCGCTTGCGCATCCTAGACAGTCTGGTATTTCCATAAAACTGATGAGAGAGGCCTTCAGGTACTGATGATCATGGTACCGATAGATTCAATTTTTCTTGTTCCTTGTTCCAAAATAGTAAATGAGAAGGCAATTCTGTTAAAGAGTTCCCGAGTTCAGGTTTGGATTGAATTGAATGAAGTGGAAACAAGACACACCCTTGGTAAACAAACATGCCTTGGGATTCAGATTGTCTTGGCTTCACACCAATGTCCCTTAAAAAGGAAGAACCATAGTCAGTAAAAAAATTTAAGCAGGCAAGATGTGGCCATAATTATCCATGGTTTCCTTTCACTCCAGTGGGATAGAGCACTAGGTCTTCTGACCATTGGAAGGAAGCCCAAGGTATTGAATTCACTTGAAATCACAATGACTGGTCTGATGTGAGATAATGCCCCACCCCAGAAAACTGGAGCAGTGAAACAGGACTTCGATTGATAAAAAATATTGGAAATAACAAGGGACAATTTGAAAGAAAATGTTACCTAGATTTGGCTTTTGGCTTGGGCATTTCATCTGATAACCCTTGAATGACATTGTTTATCATGATTGCTTCCTACATGAAGTCTTGCTGAGCAGAAATGAGGCTCCAAATTTACCTAATAATAAATGTAACTCTCTCTTTCCATGCCTGTTGGTGTCACCTCATTGTACTTCTTCGACAGAAAGGACCTTGTCTTGGATGTCTACCTGGGCCTTTTAAATAACCTTGCCCAACAAAGCATTCATATTCAGGTTTATCTCCTGCTGCAAAAAAATGCTTGAGTTTTTGAGGGGAACATAGAATAGAATTGAATTCCTTTTTTTCATTCTTTTATTGGCCAAGTGTGATTGGACACACAAGGAATTTGTGTTAGTGTAAATGCTCTCCGTATACATAAAAGAAAAGATACATTTGTTGAGAGTCAAGAATCATAAGGTACAACACTTAATAATAGTCATAGGAAAACAATCAAATATAATAGGTAAGCAATCAATAATAGTCATAGATAAGCAATCAAATCTTATTAGGAAACAGTCCATATAAATTGTAAGGATACAACAAACAAAGTTACAGTCATGCAGTCACAAGTGGGAGGGTGATAAGGAGTGATGAGATTAATAGTAATAATACTGCAGAATAGTTGGACAATGTTGAGGGAATTGTCATGACTTTGTCTCTGTCATCTATCTATAGTTCTAGAAGCTACCTACTTGGTTTTAATCCAATTTAATCAAGATGGCAGAAATATAAATTAATGGATGGATAGATAGATAGATAGATAGATAGATAGATAGATAGATAGATAGATAGATAGATAAAGAGGGCAGCCAAATAAGTTAAAATAAAATGTACAAATAAACAAGGACCCTCTTGTTTTAAGGTTGACACCTCTAATTGTAAGGACCTTTTCCTATGTATTTTAACCAGGAGACTATTTTAGATCACTTTCAAAGGGAAGCAGCTTTGCAATGTTTTATGTAGTCTTGAAGAAAACTTTGCATAGTGATAAGCAGGGGTGGGATACGACAGGGTTAACTACCGGTTCAGGATTTACAAGCTTCCCTACCCGCTGTGAGCCGTGCGCCTGTTAATCATCATTAGCGCACTGCTCTGCCGAGAAGCATTCTTTGAAACAGCCCTCTTTTCTTGTTTTTTTAACTGCAGTTGTGACTCGTTTGGCAGCTGAAGTTGAAAAATCAGGAAATAAATATCAGGTAAGAGCCCGGATGGGTGGGATGGCAAAAACATCAGCAGACAAAGAACCGGTTCTATGTCTGCTGCTCTTCAGAGCTACTGATTCTACAGAGGTGGACAGAACCGGTAGAAACCCACCCCTGGTGATAAGCTCCTTTCTTCATTACAGTTTTATTCTTTTTTTTTTTTTATACAAATCTAGTAGAATAAAACTTTAGCCAATGGTTTAGAAGGATTTTGATTCTTTAATCTAACACAAATACACCATCCTACTTTAAAATCATGGCTATATGAAGAATGGAGAAATCAATTTTAATATAGCCATGTGAAAAAAAGCACTAATTGTCACTTAATACTTAAATCTTTCCTTAATTCCACGCCTCCTAACTTTGTTAAGTAGAAAAGTCTTTTATTTCAATGAGACATTCCAAAAGCAAAAAGGATGAATGCCTATGGAGATGATCAGTCCTCCAGGTCATGGATGTCCCAAAGGTACTTTTTCCAAGAGGCAACTGGAATTTGCCTCTTGGAAAAAGCATCTTTGGGATAAAAGGGATGAAATAAATTAAGACATTCTCAGTAGTTGTATCTCCTGCAACTATTTGGAAATATTTAGACAATTCAAACACATCTAAGTGAAAGACAGAGACTCTTTGGCTAATATTCATTCTGGCCTTTATTTTCCATGGATGGTGAGTGCTAACATATCTTTTTGGCATTGCTGGTTTTTCTGCTTAGTCTTTGCCTCAGTCCAAATGCGTGGAAAATTGTCACCCTGGATTTGTCAAGAGGGCTCGAGAAGGAGAGCCAGTTTGCTGCTACGACTGCATTCCTTGTTCAGAGGGGACCATCTCCACTCAGGGATGTGGGTCACACTATAGAAAAGGGTGGGCCTTGCGGAAATGAATTCATTCAGAACATTTTACATGAAAGTGTAAGTTAAAAGACAAATTGAAGCTCAATAGTTTTCTTGTTCTTCTTCTAATTGCTCAATTGATTATCTAACAGAATGGGTAGCAAAAAGGACTTGGAAAAGGAGCTAGTTAGAGATAGTAGGGTTTGGCAGATTGAGCAAGCTTTACTACTGCTAGCTTTTTAAAAAATGTGTTTATCTGCTGAACTGAACAGAAAACAATAACAGAGTTGGAAGGGACCTTGGAGGTCATCTATTCCAACCCCCTGTTCTGGCAGCAGACCCAAAACCTTTCCAGGCAAATGGCTGTCCGGTCTCTTCTTAAAAGCCTCCAGTAATGGACTACCCATGACATCTGAAGACAAGCCATTTCACTGGTTATTTGTTCTCACTATTAGGAAATTTCTCTTTAATTCTAGATTGTTTCTTTACTTGAGTAGTTAATTCGTTGTTCCTTGTCTTGCCTTATGGTGCTTTGGAAAATAGCTTGAGCTTCTTCTTTGTGGCGGTCCCTCAAATATTGGAACATTAAGCTACAGGTTGAGTGCAGTTTGTCAGCCACTTACAGTTTCCTTCTGTATTTTAAGTTCTAGGAGCATCAGATATCTTTGCAACTTGAGAGATTATGTTAGGGTAATTTTTGGAAGTATTATTGCAATATATTGCAATATATATTGTTTGAAGAGCAGGTGGCAGTCATGGCCAGGAGGGCCTTTGCGCAACTGCGGGTTGTGCACCAGTTGCACTCTTTCCTAGACCAACAGTCTCTACTCACAGCCACTCATGCCCTAGTCACTTCCCATCTTGATTATTGCAACACGGTCTACATGGGGCTGCCCTTCAAGAGCATCTGGAAGTTCCAGTTGGTGCAAAATGCACCCTTATGGTTTTATGCAGACCCTGGTGTACACATGTGTCACCTCTCCTGTGGGAGCTGCATTGGTTGCTGATTTGCTTCTGGGTGCAATTCATGGTGCTGGCTGTCACCGTTAAAGCCCTTCATGGCTTTGGACCAGGTTATCTGAGGGACTGTCTCTTGCCGGTAACTTCTACCCAACCCATTAGAGCGGGGAGGTAGGGAATGCTGTGGGTCCCATCCCTGAAGGACATACACCTGTTGGGACTCAGAAGAAGGGCCTTCTCCATAGTGGCTCCCTCTCTCTGGAACATCATTCCCCTCAGATATTAGAATGGCTGCCACTCTTACTCTTCTGGAAGGCACTGAAGACCTGGTTCTGCCAGCGGGCCTGGGGAACCCAGAGCGGGATGGAGCCCATTAAATGGCTCATATGATCTGCTTTCTTTGGGGTAGGGGGCTGGCATTTGTGGGGTGATTTTTTTTTCTTTAGATTTTGCTCTGTTGTACTTTATTCATTTATTTGATTCTTTTTGTAAGTTTTTATTTTTATTTTTTTGTTTTTAAATATGGTTTTCCATTCTGTATGCCTCCTTGAGTCACAGTGGGTGAACAGACAGCAATATAAATTCAATAAATAAATAAATAAATAATAATTAATTTCCTCATCTAGTTTGTTTATGGAGATATTGAAAAGTACTGGATCTAAAACTGGGTACCCCACTGCTTCCTTCCTTCCGTGCGGATGCAGTTCCATTGAGGATTACATGTGGAGTATGATTTGTCAGCCAATTACAAACCCATATCATCAGCAAATAGTAGTTACCAACAGCAAAAATGGAGGATGAGCTGATACAATGGTTTCTGTTTATATTGAAAACATGGAAGAGAAGATACCATCCAAAAGGACAACCCATTTTTCAACTGGGTTTGAACTTTCTTCCTCCAATGTTAGTTTCCAAACGTGTCCCAGTAGGAAGAGTCAGAACCACTGGAGAATTGTGTCCTCATGGGTGTGTCCAATTTTTCACCAATACTTTTTCTCCAGCCCCAAAGAAGATCAAGACTCCCAGAGGAGAAGTTGCTTCTCACTGTAATTATCATCATCCCAATCCTTGAAACCTCTTTTTCTATTTCTTCAGTGACTGCCTTTGATGTAAACATCAGAGTGAAATAAAATGAAAGGAATCTTGCATTGGAAAAGGATAAAACTCTCTAGACATGATGAGTGTTTTCAGTAAGATTTAGGACAGGCAGGTGATGTGCTTTAATACATATATTTCTCTCCTTTCCATGTCAAGCTTGGTTTGTCTCCGTCTGAATTACAAAAGCCACTGGCATTTCCATCTTATGAAAGTGCACTGAATTCTCCTAATTCATTGTTTAGAAATACTTCCTGATTCAGCCCAAGCAGGAATGGACCTCCTGCTTGTGTTTATGCTGCTCCTGCTTGTATTGATCCAGAGAAACTCTGGGAGGCTCCAAACCAAGTGCCCCCCAACTTTGAAGCAACAAGACAGAGGAAATCCATGGAACTATTATGGGCCAGGAGATCACATTATTAGTGTGGTTCAAACTGCAACAAAACCTTTGCTTGAGCCATTGCAGTTCAATGGAGCTCCTTGTATTTCTTCTCCGTAAGTCATTCAGTGCAATGGAGTTGCATTTCCCCTATGTGCATATCTTCTTTCTTTCTTCTCATTCCACTTATTTCTAAGTTGTAGAAGATGTACACATTTTTTAAATTCGATTTATCCACTTTTGCCTTATCCTGAAATAGACTAAAATGAAAAGATAGGGCAGATGAAACACTAAGAGAACTTGAGGAAGTCAGACACAGAAATCCAGATCATCTTCTCCCCTTTCAGTCCCAAGTTCAACTCTTGAATACTGATGTATAATCATTGAAAGTGTTGTAGTTGCCTGCCAGTCTGTGTTAAATGCCGCTTCTTGTAGGAATAAGAATGATTTGGTTTTTTTTTCTAATTTATTTGCTGGCTGATTTATTCCTCCCTTATCTTGCTTCTATACAATATATTTATACAGTATATTATACCTACTTTATGGGACGCGGTGGCTCAGTGGCTAAGATGCTGAGCTTGTTGATCAGAAAGGTCAGCAGTTTGGTGGTTTGAATCCCTAGCACCACATAATGGAGTGAGCTCCTGTCACTTGTCCCAGCTTCTGCCAACCTAGCAATTCAAAAGCACATAAAAAATACAAATAGAAAAATAGGGGCCACTTTGGTGGAAAGGTAATAGTCTTCCATGTGCCTTCAGCATTTAGTCAAGCCAGTCACATGACCACAGAGATGTCTTCGGATAGCGTTGGCTTTTCGGCTTTGTAACGGAGATGAGCACCACCTCCTAGAGCTGGAAATGACTGGCACATAAGTGCGAGGGGAACCTTTACCATTACCTTAATACCTAGTTTAATTATTAAACTATTCTGAATTCTGATTATTTGACAAATGAAAATAAGTGCTGCTACAAATAATGATGTATTTGTGACTAGAAACCCTGATGGAGAAGATGGGACAGAGTTAGTCCTCCATCTCATCTTCTCAATGCCAACAAAACTTAAATAATGATGGATGACAATGATCTGTCTCTGTTTTAGAATCAGTATTGCTTTAATGCTCAATAGGGTTGTGGAGATAAAGAATAAATTAATAAATGCATACTTTATGATAATAACATGGAAATATTTGTACAGGATTAGAGATCCTAATCTCCCAGAAATGCTTCCCTTCATTCTCCCCATTCAAGTGATCAACAAGAATACCCAACTCCTGCAAAACCTCACACTTGGCTACAACATCCATGACAACTATTTGAGCACTCTTCACACTTCGGATGCCCTAATGGACATGCTGTCTACTGGAGAAGCCAATATTCCTAACTATAGCTGTGGAGCAACGGACAACCTTCTGGCTGTTATTGATGGAGCTTTCAGGGAAGTCTCCATGCAGATGTCTACATTAGTAGGAACCTACAAAGTCCCTCAGGTGTGTGTGTGTGTGTGTGTGTGTGTGTGTGTGTGTGTGTGTCTCAATCTGGTAAAATGAATGGGGTTGGTGAACAATAGATCTAGCCATAAGTTCTCTATGGAATTCAAGAGCTGCTTCTCACCATAGTTGTTTTAGGTGTCATGGTGGATATTGGACTAGTCAGTGAGGAGGAATCAAAGCAGCCATATCCACTCATGACATTGTCTTCATTGCTTTGGAGGCTTCTGTTGTATACTTGTGAAGGTGAAGAGAGCCACTGTGTCCAATCAAATTGTCCACTGTAAAAAGGAAGTTGCAGCAATGATGGGAAGCTCATATTTTGTAGAATAGAATAGGATAGAATAGAATAGAATAGAATAGAGTAGAGTAGAGTAGAGTAGAGTAGAGTAGAGTAGAGTAGAGTAGAGTAGAGTAGAGTAGGGTAGGGTAGGGTAGGGTAGGGTACAGTAGAGTAGAGTAGAGTAGGGTAGAGTAGAGTAGAGTAGAGTAGAATAGAATAGTTTATTGGCCAAGTGATTGGACACACAAGGAATTTGTCTTGGTGTAAATACTCTCAGTATACATAAAGGAAAAGATACATTCATCAAGAGTCGAGAATCATAAGATATGACACTTAATGATAGTCATAGGGTACAATAGGCATTCAATCATACTAGGAAACAGTCAATATAAATCGTAAGGATACAAGAGACAAAGTTACAGTACATGACCTTAGTCAACATAATGGCATTTTCAATGGTAAACAGCACTCCTTACTAGCACTGATGATATTATCTAGACTGGGTAATGATAAGTCTACAAGAAAACAAGCAAGCTCAGAGACCACAAGGAGCCCTCACCAAAGAAGCTACTTGAATAAGCAGTGAAAAGTTTCAAATAAAAAAAAATAAGTCCAATTGCCATCACTTAACTTCCAGACAACTTTACTGGATGACTCAGAATATTCATTGACCTATGTAGTATGTCCCCTTATTGCAATGAAATATTTTGGTTGAAATCTACACATGTGACTGATTGCATTAAATTGGAGAGTATTACAGAAATATGATTTCCATTTTTATTCTTATTCTTTTTTACTTAATTTGTATTCTGTATTCCATATTTACATGCAGTCTTCTTAATGTTCTGTGTTTAAGCTTTTATGTCTTAATATGGCCTAATAGCTAATCAAGAATAAACTACTCTAATATTTTCATGAGTGCCGAGTTGGATTTCTTAAGAGGTAATATTTTGGATGGTCTGACTGTAAATATAACCCAGGATTCTTAATTGCTTTTTCAGATCACTTGTAGATTTGTTTCAGAGGCTCTGAGTGATAAAACTCAATTCCCTTTTTTCTTCCGGATGGCCCCCCAAAATGGGGTCCAGTACCCCGCAATTGTCCAACTGCTCCTCCATTTCAGATGGACCTTGATTGGGCTCTTTGCTTCAGACACAGAGCAGGGAGAAAATTTCATGAGGACCTTTACTCCTACGCTTGTCAGGAATGGAATTTGTGTTGTTATATCACAACAATTGTCTACGACTAGACATGCAGCACCACTTAAGAATGCCATCTCCAAGTGGAGGCAAGTCAATGTCTTTGTTTTCTTTACTGACTATAGTAGCATGATGGATGGAATTCACCAAGTCCATTTTACACTTGATGGCTTGCCACGCCCCACTGAAGGGAAAGTCTGGATCATCACAGTCTTTGGAGACTTGCCAATGAAAAGTCACAGAGTTTATGAATATGTCCATAGTATTTGGAACTTCGTTATTCAGGAAAGAGGGTATGAAGATTCCTTTGAACCATTTATATTTGTGGAACCCTTGCATAAGTGTTTTCACTGTTCTTTTGCAAAACACATCTTTTCTGTGAAAGGCCGGAGAAGATGCATCCAGAAAGCACCACTGGAGACCCAGGATAAAAGCAACAGATTACAAATTGACCACCGTGCTTACAGTGTCATTAAGACTCTGGCCCATGTCTTGAATGCTGCATATTCCTCTAGATCCAGGAGGAGAAGAAAGGAGGGCAAAGAGAAGTTGAACATTCCAAAGCTGCAGCCATGGCAGGTATGGGATCCCGACAAGGATCCATAAAACTTAGTTCCTTTGGAGAAGGAATCCAAAGGAAAATTATGAAAACTTTCTGCACTTCCTTGTGCTACAACTGGTCAACAGACAATTGTTGGCAATCTGTTTGTTTTGTGAATAATGTTTCAAAGGTTGGACACCATAATAGATATAATTTGATATTAAACACTGCTAATTTTAAAAAGGATGTCTTCGTTTTGAAATAAATTCATGGATTCATGGATTTGTGATTAGTATCTTAGCATTTTGTATTCATGAATTTTAAGGAGACCCTGAGATCATCTAGCCCAGGGATGTCAAATTCATGTCATCACAGTGGCAGCTTGTGACATTTCAGGATTTTTTTCCACTTCACTGAACCAGGCGTGGGCATGATCAGCACATGACGCATTCAGCCTGTTGGCTGGGAGTTTGACAGCCCTGCTCTAAGCGAATCTGATCAAGCATGTGTAAGAGCCCACATTAAAGATTAACTAATGAGTTTGACAACCTCTCCTCTCTGCAGGAATTTTAGCTAAAGCTTCTTTAAGTGATGGCCACTCCAGGTGCTTTGGAGAATAGGTTCAACCCAATCCTTAGATATTGGAATACTGCTATCACATCACCCCTAGTCCTTCTTTTCATCAAACTAGACATACCCAATTCCAAAAACCATTCTTTATATGTTTTAGCCTCCAATCCCTAATACTCTTTATTGCTCTTCTCTGCACTCTTTCTAGAATCTCAACATCTGTTTTATATTGTGGTGACCAAAACTGGATGCAGTATTATAGAAGAATAGACAACCAAGTTCTAATTGTTATTCATAACTTTCAAGTTGTATAAGAAAGAATGAAAATTATTTGACTGTAATACTTAACATATTTCATCCACTTAATTATCATACTGTAACCATTACATAAGGAAGCAGTTTGTTAATATTCTACTGAAATGAAATTATATCACCAGCATTCTCACAATCTACTAAGGAAGAGAAGTGATATGCCACCTTGGGAGTGAGGAATGAGTAAGAATTATTAGAAAAGAGAAAGGGAGCCCACAGCTGCATCAAAGGCAGAGAAAGAAACTCAGAAAAGATCACCCCTAACTTTTAAGGCTTTTAAAGAGGTTGGTGTTAGGAATGCAAGTCACCTAACAGTTGGGTTGGAAAATATATAAACCAGGATAGACATTTTAATACTGTCTCTTTAAGGGAATGCTAAAATTGTAATTGGGTGTGGTTCCTCAAATGGCCATAAGATGGAGTCAGAAACCTGGGTTGTTTAGTCCTGTTATTGAGTGTTGCCGTTCCTGCTTTTCTCTGTTGACTGTTGCTGATTGTTGTTATTCTTTGATTTGATGTGAGTCTTTTACTGAACTGTTTATTATACTGGACTTTGTTATTGGATTATCCCTGGACTGAAAACTGCTATAACCGTGTATGACTTGGACTGTTTGTTGAACTTTGCTTAACGGTTTTACTGGAAGTAAAAACCTACATTTTACTATACAGTGTATCTGTGTGCTGGTTGTGTGTTATTCTTCACCACTCTCATTACATCTCCCTGTGTGTGCTCATTCTCCTAACGGGGAATTACCTCAACAGTTGGTAGGGGATTTATTCTTTCAAACTTGCAAGATTCTATTATAGCCTAATAAGGAAGTTGAATTAGCTCATGGTTGGCTTGGGTTTCCCATCTTCTAACTTGGAGAACATTAGCCTAGCAAATTTCTTTTTGACAAATCCAAGCATTCTTGTAATTTGTTGTTTCCAAAACATTTAAGGATAATCTCTTTATTTGTTTATTTCTTAATTTTATTTGTGTTTGCTGTAGAATGTTCCTTATAGTTAACAAATATTGTCAATTTTATATTTTGTTAATACTGTATATGGTAGAGAAATTTTGCATAACCTTTCATTTTCATTTTTGAAAATAGTGGTAACACTTGTTTCCCAACTAAGAATATTTGCAAATTAGACAAGTATAGAATATATGATTGACAGGTTTTGCTGAAACTTTTTCATTCAGATATGCAGGTAATGGCAACACTTTTTGGTCAGAATTAAGAACATTTGGAAATTAGACAAGTGTAGAAGAAAGGTTTGAATGTGAAAAGACCATGTTGGTTCAGACAGCAAGGTTATTGCTTTTAAAATTGCTGGCTGTTTCCATTGTAGCTTCATCCCTTTCTGCAGAAGAATGAATTTTGCAACCTCTCTGAGATGAAACTGTACTTGGACCAACATGGAGATCTGGTGGCAGATATGAACATCCTGAGCTGGGTGGTTATCCCTGAAGAGGATTGCATGGAAGAGCAGCTGGGGAGTTTTGAAAGGCAGAGACTTACTATTAACCAATATGTGCTTTTACTGCTAAAGTGGCTCAACAAGGTGAGTGAAATATTGGTGTCTTTTCTCTCTTTTCCAAAGCTTTAGTGTCCATGTCAAGTGGCTAAGCCTAATCAGAAATTCATTAAGAATTTTATGTGTGGACTATAACTTGGATAATTTTCTTAGCTGGATAGGGAGGCTTCAAAAACACTTCAATCAGGGTGTATTTCAGATTTTGTAATAGAACACTGTAATGGAACAGATTCTATAATGAACAGTGTATGGAACACTGTTTTAAGATGATTCAGCTACATCCAGATCAAGATACTGAGTGATTATTATTTAGGATAAAATTGGTGAGAGAGGCCCTCAATTCACAGGTGGTATTCAACAGGTCTGACCAGCTCTGGAGAACCGGTAGCGGAAATTTTGAGTACTTTGGAGAACTGGCAAATGCAACCTTTGACTGACCCTGCCCCATCTATTCTCTGCCTCCCGAGTCCCAGCTGATTGGCTGGGTCTTTTTTTATTGCCCTGCACAGAAGAACAGAGCTGGAAAGCAGGTTAGTAGGATGGGGAAGGAATGGAGATTTTGCAGTAACCTTCTCCTGCCATACCCACCAAGCCACGCCCTCCAAGCCATGCCCATCAAACCATGACATACCCATCAAGCCATGCCACACCCACCATGCCACACCCACAGAACTGGTAGTAAAAAAAATTGAATCCCACCACTGCCTCAAGTGCTAGGTATTATGGGTTGATAACCTCATGTTTGTTTGTTCCTTGTCCAGAAACAGCAAAGCAAAAGACTAATGCTTGGGTTCCAGTTTGGAATGAATCTGATAAAAAAAGAGTCAGGACTGAATGGATGTCCTGCTTGACCCAGTGGGAAATAACCCTTGACATTATGATTCAGCTTGTCCTGGTTGGAGACAGTGTCTCCTGAAAGGGAAACCCATAGTCTGAGAGATTTTTATACAGGCCAGAGCTGACCAGAGTTATCCATGCTTCTCTTTCATCCAAGTGGGATAGAGCAACAGGCCTTCTGCTCCTAGGAAGGAGGGCTAAGGCTTTAAGTGAAATCATTACAACTGTAAAATAATGCCCTGACTGAGAAAACTGAAGTACTTAAACAAGACTTTGATCTAAAGAAAAAACCCTTCTAAATAAATTTCCTTTAATGCCTCCAATTTGGCCTCACTGTTCAATTGTTCGCAGTTGGAGATTAAACTCTTTCCAAAATAGTCTCCAAAATAGAGAAATACAGTCCAAGCTCAAGGAACAGATAACAAAGAAATAAAAAATAAATAAAATAAATAAATATACTGCACTGAAGGAATTATCCACAACAGACCAAGATAATTAATTACAAACTTCAAGAAGATAACAAGGCACAGTCCATTGGAAGAACACCAACCAAGATAAAACTCAGCCAGAAATAAAACATGCTTTGCTTCTAGCAACGCTGTTTTAAACACCCCTCCTATATACTATTCCTCCACAGCTGCAGCCAGTGAGGGGGATCATGGCCACTTCCTCTCCTATAAGCCATGTTGTTCCCTTCTCCATTCCTCCCTGCATGCCCTAGGATGAAGAGGGGATGGGCTTCCTCTGACTGCCCAGCTGGCCTCTGCCCTTCACCAGCCTCCTTCACAACCTCCGGAGCCACACTGCCTTTCCCTGTCAGCTGTTCCTCCTTTCCCTTGAAGTCAGTCTCCAACAGGGGCATGACACCTTTCTCATATTGGAAATAACAATATTTGGATTACATTTGGCTTTTCGCTTGTAAGAAGACACTTCATCGGAAAACCCTTTGAATGCAATTGTTTATTTTGATTCTTAGCTACTTTAAAGTCTCTCTGGGCAAAAAGGAGGCTCCTAATTTGACTAATAATACATTCAGGTATTTCTTTCCATGCCAATTGGTGCCACCTCCGTACAATTCTTCAAAAGAAAGGACCTTTCTTGAAAACTGAACTGGGCTTTTTCCCACAGAGCTCATACTCATGTCCCATCTGCCTCAGCAAAGGATACCTGATTTACTCTTCTTGAGGGACACATTCAGTGGTGGTATGCTACCAGTTCAAACCAGTTCATCTGAACTGGTATTTTTTAAAAAAGCCTTTGATCAGCTGAGAGGAAGAAAAAAAGCCTCCGGCGATCAGTTGAAATAAAAGACTGAAAAGCACATGGGAGGATGGGAGGGTCACTCCTAGCATTTTGTTTCTTCCTCCTCTCAGCTGATTGCCTTGTTAGGGGTGTGCACATTGGGGGGGGGGTGCATGCACATGCATCCAAGATCATCCACCAAACCAGTAGTGACTAAGGTAGGATCCCACTACTGGTCACATTCTCATGACCTTGTTTCCATCTCATCTCATTACATTTCTAGAAAATAGGCAGTAATCTTTAGTTTCATTTCAACAGCAAGACAGTCACATGAACAGAGAATATAAATATAGAAATAAACAAAGAGCAACTCATTTAATTTTGATAACTATAATTTCTATATACTGTATTTTCCTTTGTGTGTTAAGGGAGATTGTTTGGACTATATGAAAGAGGAGCTGCTTCTGAATTTTTAGGTAGTTAAGAAAAAACCTTTCTAAATCCTATTGGACATAATTTTGTTTCCTCATCATAGTTTATTTGTAATGAGAAAACACAGTAATAAATGCAATAGAAAGTAGTAGATGTTTTAGAATGAAGTTTATTCTACAATTTAATCTGAGATGATCATACTTTAAAATCATGGAGGAATGCATTAGAATAGAACAGAACAGAACAGAACAGAACAAAATGTTCTTTATTGGCCAAGTGTGATTGGATGCATAAGGAATTTGGTTAAATATTCTTAGGCATCAGACAGTGCTCTGAGAATCAGGTGTTTAGAAGAGTGATGACATGAGGGAAAAACTGCCTGTGCGTGGTTGTTTTGACATGCAATGCCCTATAGTGGAATCCTGAAGGGAGGAGTTGAAACAATTTATGTCCAGGATGTGAGAGGTTGTTAGATATTTTCTCAGCTCTCTTTCCAACCCCTGCAATATAACAGATCCTCAGCAGAAGACAGGCTGGTTGCTATTGTTTTTTTCTGCAGCCCTAAGTATTGGTTGTAGTCTGTACAGGTCCTGTTTTATTGCTGTACCAAATGAGACAGTTATAGAAGCACAAATTGCAGATTCAATAATTCCTTTGTAAAATGGTATCAACAGCTCCTTGGGTATTCTGAATTTCTGAGTTGATGCAGGAAAAACATTTACTTAGTGCTAAACCTTTTCTCAATTCCATCCCTTCAAACTTTATTTAGTAGAAAAGTCCTTTACTGTAGTGTGATATTCCAGAAGGAAAGACAACGGTCTAAAAGAAAAATCTGGCAGTAGTTCTATCTCCTACAATGTTTGGAACTAGTTATAAATTTCATGGCAACTGAGCTTCTTTTCTTGTTGGTTTGAAAGGGTTTGCTGCTTATCTGAATGACTTCTTCAATATGAGCAAGTTGGCTAGGGAGACCCCATATATGTCCTCCAGGGTGGTTTCATATTATTCTCTAATTTCACCTAATCTGAACAGGCTCTCTAGATTAGATGACTGAAAATCTCATTTAGAAATGTCATATATATCTAAGTGAAACCCAGAGACTACTTGGCTGATGTTCATGTCGACCTCCATTTTGATGGGTGGTGAGTCCTGTCACATTTTCTTTGGTTTTCCTTTTTTTACTGCTTAGCCCCTGCCTCAGTCCAAGTGTGTGGGAAAATGTCATCCTGGATTTGTCAAGCGGGCTCGAGAAGGTGAACCCATTTGCTGCTATGACTGTGTTCCTTGTCCAGAGGGGACCTTCTCCACTCAGGAAGGTGGGTCACACCAAAGAAAAGGGCAGGCCTTATGGAAGAGGTTTCATCCAAAGTATTGTCATGAAAGTGCAAGTTAAAAGACTGATGGAAGCTCAATTGGTCTTCTTGTCTATTTTTAATCTGTATATCTAAAGGAAAGAATAGCAAAAAGACCTTGGACAAGTGGCTCGGAATAGATAGGAGAGTGTGACTGACTGTGCAACCTCTACTACTGCCAGTGAAAATATATCTTATGCTTTTTAGTTTGAATATGTTCGGCCATGTTTGCCTTTCTAGGGACATAGAATAGGATAGGATAGGATAGGATAGGATAGGATTCAATGGAATGGAATGGAATGGAATAGCTTTATTGGCCAAGTGTGATTGGACACACAAGGAATTTGTCTTGGTGTAAATACTTTCAGTATACATAAAAGAAAAGAGACATTCGTCAGGAGTCAAGAATCATAAGGTACAAAACTTAATGATAGTCATAGGGTACAATAAACAATCAATCATACTAGGAAAGTTTCTTGAAATCTGAGGAATTTTTGTAGGCCCACCTCCTGGAAGGATTAATGTAATATGAGTCTCTGCTAGAGGTCTACTGAGAAGCGGAAGAAGTATGGACAATTATGGATACATATCATTACATCCTTATTACCAAAGCTCCCAGTAGCTATTCCAGATCTTTTGCAGGACTAGCTTTCTCTGCCAACCAACTAGAGTTCACAAAGCTGGCATCCTGTGAGTCAAGTACATTAAGATGTGCCATCTGACAGGACCCAAGAATTTTCCCTAGACAGATTGATTCATTTTTTTTTAACAACTAATAATGTAGATTCCTCTTAAGATTCTGCACATTACACAGGAAATCATTTGGGTCTCCACTCAATTTCAAAGAATTATAGCTTTTTTTAAAAAAAGAAATGTTATTCCTCTAATCTTCTTTCTCCAGAGATCTTAGGAAATATAATTTGGAAAATGCCCCTAGTAAAAATTGTTGTCCAAAAATGTATTTCTTGAAAAGTGAAAGGGTAAAATATTAAAATAATATTGCTTTTTGGTTGTCTCAGATACAGAAAAATGCACCAAGTGTCCAGATGATAAATATCCAAATGAGAATCAAGTCGATTGTATCCCTAAATTTAAAACATTCCTGTCTTATGAAGAACACCTATGCACTATCCTGGTCTCTTTTGCCTTACTTCTCTTCCTAACCACAAGTCTTGTTTTAATCATATTCATTAAAAATCAAGAAACCCCCATTGTCAAAGCCAACAACCGGGACCTCTCTTACATCCTCCTGGTCTCCCTCCTGCTTTGCTTCTTGTCTCCTTTTCTCTTCGTTGGTCAACCAAGGAAAGCCACCTGCCTTCTTCGACAAACAGTTTTCAGCATCATCTTCTCAGTTGCCATTTCTTCTCTTTTGGCCAAAACCATCACAGTGGTGCTGGCTTTCCTTGCCACAAAACCAGGAAACCGAGTGAAGAGATGGTTGGGGAAGAGCTTGGCCAACTCCATCATCTTTTCTTGTTCTGCTGTCCAAATTATTATCTGCTCCATCTGGCTTGGAGTTTGTCCACCCTTTTCTGATTCTGACTTCCACTCCCAGCCTGGAGAGATCATCCTGCTATGTAATGAAGGCTCTGTTCTCATGTTCTACATCACCCTCAGCTACCTGGGCTTCCTGGCTTCCATCTGTTTCATGGTGGCTTTTCTAGCCAGAAATCTCCCTGGGACTTTCAATGAAGCCAAGCTAATCACCTTCAGCATGCTAGTCTTCTGCAGTGTCTGGGTTTCATTCCTGCCCTCTTACCTGAGCACCAAAGGGAAATACATGGTGGCTGTGCAGGTCTTCTCCATCTTGACCTCCAGTGCTGGTCTGCTGGTCTGTATCTTCATCCCCAAGTGCTACATTATCATTCTGAGGCCAGACCTGAATACAAAGGAGCAGCTTACAACTAGAAGAAATGTATAAATATGAAACATGGGACATCATAACATAGATGGACAGGAAAGTAAACTAAAGCTTGCTAATAGTGAATATTCATGCTTACATGAAATTAAATATGCATATCTACAACTATCATCTTATCTTCCTTTTCTGAAATGTATGTTTAAAATGTTAAATCATGGCAACTGGACTAACATTTGTTAAAATGAGACATTTCATTACTCACCCTAATAACTTCTTCAGTCAAAATAAATTTTGTTAGGCAGAGTCAGAAAATAATTGGAATGTACTAACTCTTGTCACAGCAACTATAGAGGTTTCTCCCCCAAATGTATTTCAAAATGTAAATGAAGACTCAATCATCCAGGGGGAAAAAATGATTTAACATTTTTAGACACTTTTGGCCTAAATGATTTACATTTTTTATAAATATGTGCATCTTTTTGTCTGTAGGATTTCCTTCCATTATTTTCTGAAGAGAAATTCTTCCAGTCTACACTGAATGAATAATAATTGCAGTGAGCTTCAATTATTTATTTTTGCCTCCTTTATTTGATTCAAAAGAACAGGTGTTAGCAGCAGGATTCACATTGTTGCCATGTACCAGCCAGAGGTGGTATGCAGAGATGGAAAGCAGGTTAGTGGAGTGGGAAGGGAATGAGATTTTGCAGTAACCTTCCCCCAGGAGTGGGGAGGGAATGGGGATTTTGCAGTATTCTTCCCCTGCCATGCCCACAAAGCCATGCCCACCAAGGCATGCCGCTCCCACAGAACCATCAGTAAAAAATTTTTAATCCCACCACTGGTATCAGTCCCATGTATGGGTGTGGATAAAGCAACACTCTGTGTCTAAAAGTCTGTTTTGAATACGGAGGTTCGTTGAATGTATTTGGTCTTCCCTTTCCAATTCTCAGCCATTCCTAGTCCTGCTGTGAAAATAACCAGAGATGTCCAAAAAGTCAGAGGGAATTTGGATTTGGAGGAATGAATGTGACCTAGGTCAAATAGAGACTGACCCTGGGGCTCTGTTCCAACTCTCTTTTTCATATTCTCCTAATGTGTGAATTGCCTAAGCCTAGTGAATTGCATAACGATGCTCAGGAAGACTGTGATTGGAGAATGAATGCTTTCCCAGATAAATAAATCTGTTGTGGCTGACAAATGCACATTGGTCCAGGAGTGGGCTGTTGGAGTGGGCTGACGAGTGCACATCCGTCCAGGAGTGGGCTTCTGGAGTGGGCTGACAAGTGCACATCAGTCCAGGAGCGGGCTTCTGGAGTGGGCTGACAAGTGCACATCGGTCCAGGAGTAGGCTGCTGAAGTGGGCTAAGTGCACACCGGTCCAGGAGTGGGCTGCTGGGGGTCCTCGGGGGTTTGGAGAGCCCCTAGCTAAGATTTTATGCAGTTCAGAGAACCCTCAAATTCCACTCCTGGCTGGCCCCGCCCACCCCACCCAGCTCCTCCCAGGAGTCCCCACATTTTGGATGAGGTAAGTGCAGGGCATGCATAGAGTCTCAGGGAGGGCAAAAAATGGGCCTCCAGAAATTTGGAAGGCCAGAAATGGGCCTGTTTCCAGCTTTTAGAGAGCCTCTGGAACCTGGGGAGGCTGTTTTCACCCTCTTGGAGGCTTGAGGAAAATCTGCAAAGCCTGGGTGCCAGCTATGGAATTCATCGCTGCCACACAGTTGAAGAATGTGGGAGGGGGTGATGTAAATTGAGTAGCTCTTAGTAGACAAAATAGATTATTTTGATAGTTCAAGGTTACAGAGTGTGGCGCAGAGAAGAATAAAACTTACTGTGGGGTTGGTGCATGTGATCTGGTGATGAGGGAAAAAACGGTGGAGGGTGTAGCTTGGGACTGTGTGGGAAGCCAGAAAAAAAATCAGTTCCGGACTTCCCTAGAATGTGCCAGGTACTGTTCCAATAAAAGTACTTTGAGATGGCTTGTGTCTTGGAGTTACTGGAAAGAATGGAATTTCTCTGGAACGTGTCGTATTTTGTAATAATACTCTTAACACGTGAGTTCTCTGCACACAAACTGCTTTTATTTTTCTTAACTCCTCCCTTCCGGTTCCTTCATACTGTGTCACCTCAAAATATGTCCCTCACTACTCTGTCTAACATTGGCTCCTCTTCACAGTTAAACATCAACAGGTTCCATTTACCCTACACCATAGAACACTGACACCGAGAAGGGCAAAAACACCCCCCCCCGGCTGTGCTGCAGGAGTCTGACTAGGCCACGCCCACCACAGCCACACCCACCCAGCAACTAGGCAGAAAACCCTTTGCTAAAATTTTTTGAAGCACACCCCCACAAGGGTCTAGTGCCACCAATCAGGCCTCCACAGGCTGTGAAAGGAAGATAGTTTTTGAAATTGAAAGAGAAACAGCCTGAGAGGTGAATTCAAGGATGCTGGATTATGAAAAATCCAGTTCAGTTTAGTGTTAAAAATGAAACTAAAGATACATTTTTAAAGTTATGGTAGTTTTCCTTTTCTGAGTAAATTTGCTTCTTTATCACCAAACAATAATTTGAAGTCTTCGAATCTAATGGTAAATGGTCCATTAGATGCTATCATGCCATTGCATATATAATAATTGCTTTTTTTAAAAATTAATCTGTCCTTTGGTCAATTGGAGAGAGCATTTCTGGGGAGAAAAATTGTGATCACAGCAAAAGTCAAAGGGGCCAATGTCAGAGGCTTAGTAGACACTACAAGTGGACAAATGTTGGTACATTCGCATTTAGTAAAGAAGGCAGCATCTATGGGAAAAGAACCAGCCAGTTCCGACCAGTTCTGGAGAACCGATAATGGAAATTTTGAGTAGTTTGGGGAACCAGCAAATACCATCTCTGACTGGCCCCACCCCCATCTATTCTCTGCCTCCCAAGTCCCACTTGATTGGCTGGGTCTTCTTTTGTTGCCCTGCAAAGGAGAACAGAGCTCAAAAGCAGGTTAGCGGAGTGGGGAGGGAATGGAAATTTCACAGTATCCTTCCCCTGCCACGCCCACCAAGCCACACCACGGCCACCAAGCCATGTCCACAGAATGAGTAGTAATTTTTTTTTTTTGAATCCCACCACTGAAAAGAACCTCGTAGAAGTGTAATTCAGCAGACTGAGATGATCCTATTGTACAGGCATGTTGGAGTATCTTCCTCCAGTATCACTTTCTGGATGTATCCTAACCAGAAGGATGACAACCAGAGGTGGTATTCAGCAGGTTCTGACCAGTTCTGAAGAACTGGTAGCAGCAATTTTGAGTAGTTCAGAGAACCGTCAAATACCACCTCTGACTGGCCCTTCCCCCATCTATCCTCTGCCTTCTGAGTCCCAGCTGATTGGCTGGGTCTTCTTTTGTTGCCCTGCACAGGAGAACAGAGCTGGAAAGCAGGTTAGTGGGGTCAGGAGGGAATGGAGATTTTCCCTTTCCCCAGGAGTCGGGAGGGAATGGAGAATTTACAGTATCCTTCCCCTGCCACACCCACCAAGCCACGCCCACAGAACCAGTAGTAAAAATTTTTTGAATCCCACCACTGATGACGACCATTATAGAAGAGTGTCTCCAGGGGTATAGCTGCAACATTTCACCAGAATCCTTTTCTCCAGCTGCCCCTCTCTACATGAACCCCTGGAAGAGATCCAGAGGACAAATTATTACTCACAGTAATTACCACAATCCCAGACTTTGAGATGTCTACAGCTGCCTTTCCAGAGGCTGCCTTTGGTATAACATCAGACTGAAGCAACATGGAATGGATCTTGCATCAGAAAAAGATATAAGCCTCTACTTGTGCTGAATGGTATGCACAAGATTTAGGACACAAGACAGGAGCTGTGCTGCTGAATGTACCTTTCTCTCTTTTTCAAATGAACCTCGATTTGTTTCTGTTTGAATAAGGAAATTCAAATGCCATTTTCTGAGAGTGCTTTGAAATCATCTAACTTTTCTTTGGTAACAGGAGGTTGATTCAGCTCCATGAATTATGGACCTCCTGTTTCTTCTTTTGATATTGCTGTTGTCCCAGACAGTCTCTGGGAAGCTTAGAATGAAGTGCCTGCTGAATTCGGTGCGCCTGGATAGAGAAAGACCCTGGAGCTACTACAGGCTAGGAGATCATCTCATTGGTATAGTCACCAGTGCAGTAACACTATCACAGAAAATATTGCTTTTCAACCTGCTTCCTTATAATCAGCCTCACTTGTAAGTTATTCAGTGTGATGAAATTGTTTTCCTTCCATCTGCAGTTCTAGCACTCTCATTTTTAAATTTTTTTATTAAACATAACGTTTAAAAACATTCAACATGGTGGAGTCATTTTGGCATAGCTTTTGGTCATTATTCTAGTGAAAGATAATAGAATATAGATCTTATATACATTTGTACATATACAAACATTTATACATTTACTCATCCTTACTTGCATCTTTCAACATTCTTAGTATTATTTTAGTCTCATGATCACAGATGTCCTCTTAACAACTCTTTTCCATCTTAAACCCTTCCTTTCTGTCCTCACCAATAGTAACATCTATTCCAAATTATATATTTATACTTATTTTTCATCTCTAGTGTTAGCCTATCCATTTCAGTGCAGGTCAGAATTTTATTTATTACTTCCTCTTCACTAGGGATTTCTTTCTCCTTCCACTTCTGGGCAAATACCATTCTTGCCGCAGTGATGATGTTGTACTCTTGTTCTTTTATTCTGCTTACTCCTATATTTCAGGAAGTGATTAATTTTGTTAATGAATAAGATTTCCATGGCTTTTCTGTTTTGTCTTATTTAGTGGAAGGAACACAAATTCAAAGATGGAGCAGAAGAAAATTACCTGAAAGAAGTCCACATTATTTTCCTCTCCATGTTAAATCTAGAATTTATGACTTGAATAATGATGTTTGTTTAAAGTGGTGATTGTTGTAGTTAACCGTGACCAGCTCATTTCCATATTTTTATAACTGCTTGTCTCATCCTTACAGGAATAGAGGATAACTTGCTTTAGAACAGCTTTTGTGGGTCACTTATGAAATATTCTCTTCCTTTTATGATGGTTGTACTTTTAAAAAAGAATTATTTTGCAGCCTAGGGACAGTTCTGATGAAAATTACTGCTGCTATAAATAATAAGAGTATTTGTGATTCTTATCTGCTTCTCATTTTCTCGACATTTACAAACATTAAATTTGATGAGTGACTCTCATTTGCCTCTTGTTTTTGATCAGTATTGACTTCAGACTCCACAGTCATGTTGTCAGCATTCCAAAGAAACTCCTCAATTCCTTTCTCAGAGACAAAGTCCATGCAAATAAGAATTTATTAAAGATGTCGTGTTGGCACATCTGGGAAAACCCAAATCAAAACTTCCAGGTTTTCCCTTCCCCACAATTGAAAATCAAAGATCCATCCCCTGCACCCATCAATCCATCACAAAGGACCCATCAAATGTTGTTCTATCCGAAGCCAAACCTTCGCCCACTCTCATCAAGATGCAGAATGACATGTCCTTGACTTTTGAGAAGAATGTTGTTGAATCTAATCTACTACTCGCTAAGAAATTCCCCCTCCCAAATTCCCAGGCATTAACTGTGGCAGCCTTGAAGCTTCTAAGAAAATATATGGCTAAAACAAATATGGCTTCCATGGTTGACACATGTGTCGATAAAAAGGGTGAAATTAAAATAAAGGTATTGTGTTACTGCTATTGATAATGCTTGTATTAACCAAAGCATTTTTTCACATTAGTTTACCTTATGGTTACAAAGGAATAGAACGCTTTATTTTCACCATTCAAGAGATCAACAAGACTATCCAGCTCCTGTGCAATCTCACACTTGGCTACAATATCCATGATAACTATTTGAACACACTTGGCACTTCAGAAGTCTTGCTGGACATGCTCTCCCCTGGAAAAGCCAATGTTCCCAACTACAGCTGTGGAAGGAGGGACAACATTTTGGCTCTTTTTGATGCAGCTGACAGGGAGATTTCCAACCAGATGTCCACATTAGTAGGCACCTACAAAGTCCCACAGGTCTGTGTGTATGTTTCTCTATATAGTAAAGTGAAGTGGTTGTGGTAGTGGGTACATGATAGATCCAACTATATCTTCTCTATGGAGATCAAGAGCTACTTTTTAATGTGTCAATTGTAGGTGTCATGTCTGGGAACTGGGATATGCGTTAAGATGGGAGCATATATCAAAATAGTCATATCCTCTCATGATAGCATTTCTGTTGCTTTGGGGGCTTCTCCTGCATACTTGTGAAGATGAGGAGAGGCTCTGTGTCCAATCAAAGGATCTTCTGTACAACAAGAAAGTGCAGCACTGATGGAAAGCCCACATTTTGCACATGATCTTAGAAAAATGGTGATAATGCTGAACAAATGCCATATTCATGAAAAATGTTAGGAATGTAAGCAACCTAACAGCTATTTGAGATGCAAATATATAAACCAGGATAGACATTTTAAAACTATCTTTAAGAAAATGCAAAACTGTAGTTGGGTATGTTTTTCTCAAATGGCCATAAGATGGAGCCAGAAACCTGGGTTGTTTAGTCTTAGTCTCAGAAGAGAGTGTGAGTGTATCTTTGTTTCCTTCTGTTGGAAAGTATTGCCATTCCTCCATTTTCCTCTTAATTGACTGCTATTCTGGATTTGATGTAAGTCTGATACTGAACTGTTTTTGACACTGGACTTTGTTACTGGATTATCCCTGGATGAAAACTGACTGATTTACCTGTGAATGACTTTGGATTGCTTGCTTGGACTTTGCTTAACGTTTCTGGAAGAAAAAAACCTACATTTACTGTACAGTGTATCTGTGTGATGTGTGTGTGTATTATTCAAACACTACTCTCAAATACGTCTCCCTGTATGTGCTCATTCTCCTAACGGGGAATTACCTCAACAAAAATAATTGTGAAAGAGATTATTTGCATCCATCAAAGAAAGGGACCGAGGTACTTGGCATTACTTTCACAGGTTTTCTGAAGAAACATTTCAACTAATCAATGGGGACAGAGAGTTAATTGATACAAAACACTTTTTTCCCCAGCAATTTAAAAGTAAAAAGTTAATCAGTGCCTGTAACATCGATATTTCTGTGGGTAAGAAGACCTGATCCCCAAATATAACACAGCATTCTTCCTTGCTTTTCCAGATCAGTCATAGAATTGCTTCAGAGACACTGAGTGACAAAAGTAAATTCCCATTTTTCCACCAGATGCTCCCCAAAGAAGGGTTTCAGTATTCAGCAATTGTCCAAGTGCTCCTTCATTTCAGATGGACCTTGATTGGTCTCCTTGCTCCAGACACAGAGGAGGGAGAAAATTTCCTGAGGATTTTCCCTCCTTTGCTTATCAGGAAAGGAATTTGTGTTGTTATATCACAACGATTCTCAATGACTGGAGATCTAGTACCCTTTAGGGATTCCAGCTTTTCTCGCTGGAAACAAGTCAATGTCTTTGTTCACTTCACAGAACACATTATCGTTTCAAGCACATTTCATATTTTTCAGATAACACTTGCCACTTTGTCAGGACCCATCAGAGAGAAAATCTGGATCACCACAACTTTGGGAAACTATATAATGCAACATCTTGGATATCACAAATACATCCATAGTATTTGGAGCTTTGAATTTATGCAAAAAATAAGGCCAACCTATGGTGCTTTTGAAGCCTTTTCCTTTATAGACTCCCAGTATGAAGACAAGAGTTTTCAGTGTTCTTTTTCAACACATGTTTATGCTGTCAAAGGCCGGAAAAGATGCACCCAAAAAACTGCTGTGGAGACAGAAGATGAATTGAACGGGATGTTGGTTGAAAACAGTGATTCTGGTTACATTATCTTTATGACTCTGGCTCATGTCTTGAAGGCTGCATATTCATCCAGATCCTGGAGAAGAGGGAAGGAGGTCCAAGAGACACTGGAGGTTCCAAGGCTGAAGCCGTGGCAGGTATGGGGGCCCAAGAAGGATTCAACATACTAAATTCCTCTGGAGAAGGAATCCATTAGAGAAAGAGGGAAAGCATATCCTTGGGCTACAAAAGGCCAACAGATTTGGCCAATCTAGTTACTTGGGGGATAATTTACCAAGGAGCTGGTACCAGATATATTTTGATATTAAACACTTCTAATTTTAAAAGGGTAATTGCCCTTTTAACAATATCCCTGTATGTATAGTTTGTGATTAGCACTGTAGAATTTTACTTTTATAAATTTGAAGGAGACCCCTGAGCCTCAGCTGAGTTCTATTTTTCCCTGGTGAGTAGCTCATGAATCATGCTGAAATGAGGAAGGCAACTTTTAGTTGTTTATTCCTGCAAAAAATAGAACCTCATGCTTGGGACAGAGGTCCATTTCAAATACTTTCAGTAAAAATTAGCTCACAATTTTATACAAAATGTTCCTTTGTTGTTTACAACATGTCTTCTTTCACAAGATCAGAGTTCACACTTGGTTGATTACATTTGTCCTTTTTGGTACAGGATTGCATTTGTTGTATTTAGTACAAGATAGAAAAAATCTTTCTAATCTTATTATTCTCAGGAATGCTTTTGCTGCATGTGGTTTGTCAGTTTTGCAAGGAAGCTGGCAAAGAGGGGCACATAAAGAGTCTAGTGGGTAATTTAATCAACTATAAATTTGGTGGCTTCTTTCTACATAACTTGATCACTTCCTGGATGACTTGATCTTGAAACATTATTTGAAACCTTTCCTTATTAATAGTATTCTTTTCCTATAGAAGTTATTGTTTTTCCTAATCTCTTTTTTGCTGTTGTTCACTTTAGTTGATACCTGCTGTAGAATGTTTCCTATAATTGATCAAATGTGTCTATTATATAGTCTCAATACATATGTTTTCAATATACGATTGCCTAGTTTTGCTGAACCTTTCTTATTCACTTATGAGCTTAGTGATAACCCCAGTTGTCCTAATTAAGCATGTTTGCACATTAAGAAAAAAAACGTAGAAGAAAAATTCATACATGAAAATACCAGGTGGGATAGAAAAAACCAAGTTTTCTGCTTTTAAAATTCTTTTATGTTTCCATTCTAGTTCCATCCCTTTCTGGAGAAGAATGAGTTCCACAATCTTTCCCACTGGAAAGTTTACCTGGACCATAATGGAGAAATAGCTGCAGATTTGGACATTGAGTTCATGGTGATTTCGCCAGAGGGGGATTTGATCAAAAGGAAACTGGGGAGTGTTGAAAGACAGAGAGTTATTATTAACGAAATTGCTCTTTCCTCTCTAAATCTGCTCAACAAGGTAGGTCAAATATTGCTGTGTTTTCTCTTTTTTTCTAAAGATTATGACCCATTTCAAGTGGGTTAATTCTAGACACCAATGTGGATGACCCTTACTGGGAGTTGAATATACAGAAGAGAAAACTTAACATTTTGTTAGATGGACTGTGGGGACTTCAGTACCATTCACGAAAGTGTCCTTCAGATACCATGATAAGGAATATTCTTCTAAATGGATTTAGTCATGTCCAATATTGGATGCTGGGTAATTATTCTTTTGGGATCAAGCTGGTGAGAAATATTCAAGTGCTGGCATTTGTGTTGCTAATAGCTTCAGGTTCTTTTAACCAATATCTGCATTAAGGTTTGGACTGAATCAGATCAGAGGTGGGATTCTACCAGTTTGGCCCGGTTCTGCTATACTGGTAGCTCCGAAGATCAGCTGACAGTGAACAACAATCTTCTGTTCTTCTGTTTGTCCCACTCGCCTGCCTGGCCTCTAGGCTGTCTTTTATTTCCTGCTTTTTCAACCTCAGCTGCTTTGTGTGGCACAGCAGAGGTTGAAAAAGGAGGAAATAAGATTCAAATGTTGTGCATGGGCATATGCACAAAGCACGTGTGTATGCATGCAAAATGCACATTCACCAAACCGGTTGTTCCACTGGTTGAATCCCACCCCTGAATCAGATGTGTTAAGTTTGGGTAATGAGAGGCTGAACCAGAGCATGAGTGCAACAAATACTTTATTGTGACAATAAAGGACTGAACGTGCTAGCCAAGCCTGGGACTGGCTCGCAGCAATCAGCAACTGGTTGGACCCCGCAGCCTGCTTTTATAGCTGGCTGCTGGGGAGAACCAACCAATGAGCGAGGGGGCAGCCGCCCCCGCAACGCGAACGGACCTGAGTGGGAACTCCTTAGAGTTCCAGGGACATAACACCCCTTTCCCCCAGATGCGAACACGCATAGTCTTGGAGGTAGGCAGGAGGTTTATGCTGGCGCCCAGAACGGTGCAACTCGGGTGGGTTGTCTGTCAGTTCAGAGTCTGTAGGGGAAGGCAGGATCGGTAGGGAGTCACGAACGCGTCCCTCGGTTCGGGTTGGCTCGGGACTCGTAGGGCTGGTCACTGGGGACGTGCTTCCGTTGACTGGTTCGGACTGGTCAGCCATCTGGACGTCGCTGTCCGTGTTTGGATTCCCTGGATCGGCTGCTGGTGTAATCAGGTCACCGGAATTGGTGCTGATGTGGGGTTGATGCTGTGGCCTTGCCCCGGTCTGTAATTCTGAGTCACTGCTGACGAGGGTGCTGTGACGCCTTCGCAGCTGGTCTAGGTGTCTTCTCCAGACTCGGCCATCCTCCAGTCTGACCCGATATGACCTGGGTCCAGTGATGGCCATGATCTTGCCCGGGATCCACAGTGGGTCTCCAGCGAAGTTCCTCGCGAATACGGGTTCCTGTAAGACAAAATGCCTAACCCCCGATGTGGAAGCGAGGGGAGAGTCAGGGCAGTAATGTGGGTGAAGCCTGTCCAATACAGTCCTCAGGCGTCTGCCCATCAGGAGCTCAGCTGGGGACTTATTAGTGACTGTGCACGGAGTTGAGTGCTGGCTCATCAGGAAACGGGAGAGTTTATGGTGCCAGTCATCCTTGCTGAACCTAGCTAGAGCTTCTTTAGTGGTCCTAACGGCTCTTTCAGCCAATCCGTTACTGGCAGGATGAAATGGGGCCGTGAAGATGTGGCGGATGCCCAGGTTGGCAGCGAAACGGCTGAACTCGGCTGATGCGAATTGGGGGCCATTGTCGGAAACAATGGAGTCTGGAAGCCCGTGTGTTACAAACAGGCGAGTTAATACCTTGGTAATCGCTAGTGTGGTGGTTGTGGATAGTTGTGCCACGTCAATCCACTTAGAGTAGGAGTCCACGACCACCAGGAACATTTTTCCGTGCAATGGGCCGGCTAGGTCGATGTGAATTCTGGACCACGGAGCGCTGGCGCTTTCCCACTTAGTGGGGGTGGTAATTGGAGGGGCTGGACGGGATTCCTGGCAGGGATGGCAGGAGCTTACCCATCTGATGATGTCCTCGTCGAGGCCCGGCCACCATACGTAGCTGCGTGCTAATGCCTTCATTCTGACGATGCCAGGGTGCCGCTCGTGCAACGCCTCCAGAACTCGGGTAAGCAGTGAGGTTGGGATGACCACTCGAGTGCCCCACAGCAAACAGCCCTGCAAACTGGATAATTCCTGCAGGCGGGTCTTGAAAGGTGTAAATTTGTTTTCAACATCACCGCCCGGCCACCCCCTCCTCACCCAGTCCAGTACCTGGGCGATCGTTGAGTCAGTCTTGGATTTGGCCGCAATGTCAAGGGCAGTGATGGGGAGGTCCAATTGGGTGACCTCAAAGATAGCATGGACCGGAGCAGGGTCTTCAGCTGGAGCCGGCAGGGGGCAGCGGCTGAGGGCGTCTGCGTGGGACAATGTTTTACCTGGGCGGTGTATGAGTCTATACGAGTATGCCGCTAGGAAAAGGGTCCATCTCGTCATTCTAGGAGACAGGACTTGAGGGGTCTGTTTGTCCCCAGCTAGTAGACCCAGGAAAGGCTTATGATCCGTGACCAGCTCGAAAAAGTGGCCAAAGAGAAATTCGTGAAATTTCTTCACTGCTGCGACAGCTGCTAGAGCTTCCTTATCGATCTGGCTATAATTGCGCTCTGTGGCAGAGAGCGTCCTGGAAAAAAAAGCGATGGGAGCCTCGGAGCCATTGGGGAGCCTGTGGCTTAACACTGCCCCAATTCCAAAAGGGGATGCGTCTGCTGCTAGCACTAATGGAAGGTTGGGGTCGAACTGGATAAGGACCGCCTCTGACGTGAGTAGTGATTTGATGGCGCGAAAAGCGGAGTCTTCTTTGTGACCCCAGTGCCAAGGCGATTTTTTATCCAATAGTCTGTGCAGGGGTTCTGCCACTGATGCTTTATGGGGCAGGAAGGACGCGTAAAAGTTCAATAGCCCCAAGAAGGCCTGCAGTTCAGTTTTGGAGGTTGGAGTGGGTGCCTCGTGAATTGCCTTAACCTTGGACTCCAGGGGGTGAATGCCTGAGGCGTCAATTTTATAACCCAGAAAGTCCACCTGTCTAGTGGCAATGGCACATTTTTCTTTTTTTAATTTGAGGCCATGCTGTCTGAACCTCTCTAACACCGCTCGAACTCTCTGGAAGAGTTGGGGTCTGTCCCTGGCCGAGACTAAGATGTCGTCGAAGTAGGGTACTACACCAGGGAGGCCCTGCAAAATCCGCTCCATGAGGGATTGAAAGATGCCTGGGGCAACACTTACACCAAATTGGAGACGCTTGCACCGGAAAGCACCCCTGTGGGTGACAATGGTCTGGAGTTCCGCTGTTTGCTTGTCAACAGGGAACTGTTGATACGCTTGAGACATGTCCAATTTGGCAAAAATGCTGCCAGGTTCAAAAGTGTGTAATAAATGCTGAATGACGGGCACTGGGTAAGCGCTAACTTGTAAAAACTTATTAATTGTGGTCTTGTAGTCCGAGCAAATTCTCAGGCTACCGTCTTTTTTGAGGGGTGTGACAATGGGCGTCTCCCATTTGGCGAAATCTGTTGGCTCAATGACCCCTTGTTTTAATAATTTATCCAATTCCGCATCTAATTTAGGCCGAATAGCGAATGGGACTCTACGCGGTTTTAGCC